TTCTTTTGTGATTTTGAACAGCTTTGTAAACTTAATCAGAAAATTGAACTCAAGCGATTAAAGTCAACTGAGACAGTAGAATCAGAATAGAATGAAAACCCTCCGACTGGGTGATCGATCAGTACAGACGGGAAAGCTGCCCAAGGTTTGAGTGTTGGAGAAAATGCTACAGTGAGAACACAATTACTCACGCATCTGTAAGCAAAAAAAGAAAGTAAGACACATTTCAAGTTTGTACCTTCGGTTTAATACTGTACTACAGGCTGCGCTTTCCTCTGTGACCAAGCCCTGTCACGTCTGCAGACGTGTGCGTGACGGCGATGGGGTTAAATAGTAGCAGCCTCGGGACTGAAAGCACAAGTGGGATCCTCGTGATGGAAAGGTTCTGTGTTTTTAAATAGCTTTACACGGGGCTTGGAGATAAGAACTCGGTTCTGTCTGTAGCCGAGTTACACAGTCTCTGCGCTTTTATTTTGAAAAAAAAAAAGTAGAAAGTTTTCTTGGCCCAGCTTCTGCAGCGAGTTGTCAGAAGGATATAAAAGAGGAGATGTAGATACACGAGGAAAAGCTCCTGGGGGTTCCAGCTGTCGGTTTTTTGCCCCTCCTCTCATCTCCTTTCTTTCATCTATCCACCCCTCCATCGCCGCCGTCTCGTCTGACCAGAATTCAGCGTTCTGCCATTATCGCAACACCGTGGCAACGTCCTCGCAGCCCTGTGGGGTAAGAGGGGATTAGAGGAGGAGGAGGAAGCTAAAGGGCTTGTGTGTCTCCGTTTACTGGAGCGAGGGCAGGAAGTGTGTCAGGAGACGTGTGCGATGAGTCTGACGCGGGTCTGGATGTCGTGACGGCAGAGGGGGCACGTCTCTAACTGTAAGGCACACTCCATACACATACCACTGTGGAGAAGAGACGGGACAACGTCAGATAGTTCCTGTTTAAGGAGTGAACAAAAATGAGCTTGAGACATTTTATTGACAGCAGAAGAACACATACCCGTGTCCGCAGGGCCGCAGCTCTGTGTCGGCCATGACGTCGCAACACAGCGTGCAGCAGTTGTCTCGGATGCTAACCTGCCTCATTAAGGCCAGACGCCGGTGTCTAGAAAACACACGCACACAAACACACACGTGACGTTTCTATACACATGCAGGTGCACCGTCTGATGGGGAAAAAGAAGACTGGACACACACACACGGACAGTTTTCATGCAATCATTCCTTCTCTTCACGCCGTCTCCCACAAGCGAGTGATTGATCAGAGTCATTCCACTCATTTAGAGCCACGCATTTCAAGTTCAAAATAATCCCCAATTACCTCGTGGTGCTCTGAAACAAGCTGTAACCCTAAAACTTAATTAAAAAAATTTTAAATTGTTGCAGTTTTTGCAAATGTAAAAATAAAACAATATAATAAAATCCAGATGTGGAATCTGCAACTCAAACAGTTACATTTAGGTTTCTTTTCAAAGGTCACATTTTATGTACATTTTCAGGACGAACGAGCTAACGTTCAGCTGCTGAAGCTCAGCTGACAGATTTTCTGTGGGACAGCTGCTTAATGCGTCATGCTGCACACGGTGGTGCGGACAGACGCTTGGTTTTTAGATGCAGCCATTTTTATTGCGTCAGTCTTTCCTTCATTTAGCCCGACTGTCTGTTCCAAAGAAAAGACAAAAACAGAGGAAATGAAAAGCTGTCCGTCCTTTTCATTCGTCAGTCAGTGACAGGACACTATAACAAACACCTACGTCGAGTCTTTTCTTTGTCCAGATTATTTTGCTATTTTTGTTGATGATGTTTTAGAGACGCGATGATCCAACTGTGGTAACGTTCAAGGTCCCGTTGTTGCAACAGATCTCTGCAAAGTTGAGTCAACAACGTCCTGACACAGAGGAACATTAGAGCTTTATATTAAGCAGCTGCAGCCCGTCTCCATCCTGTCTTATTAAATCAGATATGACATCAGGGTTTCGTTTTTGTTCCACTTTCAGAGCATGGTTGCGTGGTTACACTGAGCCAAGACCGAGTATCTGCCCAGAGCAAAGTTTGATGTGTAGGAGAAAAATGCACTGAAGTTTTTAATGTTGAACTAAAAGTGCTGGTTTCATGCAGCCGACAGACTCTAATGAGAGATTTAAAGGATGATGAGTGAATGAATTAGTTGTATAAAGCGCTTTGAGTGCTCAGAGTAAAAAAGCTATACAAGAACCATTCAGAGGACAGTTTAGTTACAGCAGATTACACACTGCTTTCCCAACCTCTGACAGCATCATCCAACTAGGGCTGCCACGATTAGTCGACTATCA